GCACAAGGAGATCATTGTCAAAGCCATTTCTGCTGTGCTGCTCCTCCTGCTCAAGCACTTCAAGCTGAACCACATCTACCAGGTGAGGTGGGACAGGGTCCAGGGACCCTGCCTGGGGCTTTGGGGATGGGCAGGACCCAAACTGGGTCCCCCTTCACTCGCCTTTGTCCCCAGTTTGAGTACATGGCCCAGCACCTCGTCTTTGCCAACTGCATCCCGCTCATCCTGAAGTTCTTCAACCAGAACATCATGTCCTACATCACTGCCAAAAACAGGTAACAAAGGGAGCTGCCCACCCATGTCCCTGCTTGCTTTGCCCCCTCGTGATCCCTCCATGGCTGTGGGTGCAGGTAGACCTGGGGAAGTGCTCACAACAGCTTCCAACCCAAACCATTCCGTGATCTCCAGTGGGTGGGAGGTGTGGGGCTGTTACCCCCAGGCTGGGTAGGATCTGGGGGAGCAGCACAACACCCTTCTACCTGCAGCATTTCTGTCCTGGACTACCCATACTGTGTGGTGCACGAGCTGCCTGAGCTGACAGCAGAGAGCCTGGTGAGTTGCTCCTGGCACCCTTGGGTGCTCCCTGGAGGGGGGGAACGTGGGTGCAGGGAGGCAGCAGGGCTCCAGCATCCACTCCTGCACTCAGTCCCTGGGACTTTGGGGTGGTGTGGGGCTGGCAGACGTCTGCGTGTTGAGCTGTACCCCTTTGGGTATGGGTCTTCAGACCAGAACAGCCTCCCCTCATCCCTGTTCCCATCTCCTGCGTGACCCCTGCCCCTGCTTCCCCACAGGAAGCTGGAGACAACAACCAGTTCTGCTGGAGGAACCTCTTCTCCTGCATCAACCTCCTGCGCATCCTGAACAAGCTCACCAAGTGGAAGCACTCCCGCACCATGGTGAGGGTGGGCAGCCCACCGGGGCCCAGCCCAGCCACACTGGGCTCCACAGGGTGCCTGGGCTGGGGGTGCCTTGGGGTGCCCCTGGGGTACTTCAGGGAGCAGGAGGTTAGAGAGGGTGATCGAAGGGGAGAGGGGGGGTGCTCACTGCAGCGAGCGGTGCCGCACATGCAGTGGGGTGGTCCCCACAGAGGGACCTGGGCACGCTTGAGAGGTGGCCAGGGCCAACCTCATGGAGTTCAACAGAGCCAAGTGCAAGGTCCTGCCCCTGGGTTAGGGCAATCCCGGGCACAGCCACAGGTTGGGCAGAGAAGAGATTGAGAGCAGGCTGAGGAGAAGGACCTGGGGGTGTTGGGTGACAAGAAGCTCCCCATGACCTGGCCCAGACCCCCCCCCCCCCCCTCCATGCTGGGCTGCATCCCCAGAGCGTGAGCAGCAGAACAGGGACGGGATCCTGCCCCTCTGCTGTGCTCTCTTGAGACCCCACTTGGAGCAGTGTGTGCAGGTCTGGTGCTCCCAACACAGGGGATGTGGAGCTGTTTGGGCAAGTCCAGAGCAGGCCGTGGAGATGCTGCGAGGGCTGGAGCAGCTCTGCTCTGGAGCCAGGCTGAGAGAGCTGGGCTGGGGCAGCCTGGAGAAGAGAAGGCTTCTGAAGGGGAGACCTGAGAGCAGCTTCCAGGACAGGGGCTGATGGGTTTAAACAGGGAAAAGTGAGGTTGGATCTAAGGCAGAAGCTCTTTCCTGTGAGGGTGCTGAGGCGCTGGCACAGGGTGCCCAGAGAAGCTGTGGCTGCCCCATCCCTGGCAGTGTTCAAGGCCAGGTTGGACACAGGGGCTTGGAGCAAGCTGCTCTATGGAAGGGGTCCCTGCCTGTGGCAGGGGTTGGAGCTGGAGGAGCTTTAAGGTCCCTTCCAACCCAAACCATTCCATGATTCTGTCACTCTCTGTCCTCCGCTGCCGGGGGCCTGTCCCTGCAGATGCTGGTGGTGTTCAAGTCGGCCCCTATCCTGAAGCGGGCGCTGAAGGTGAAGCAGGCCATGATGCAGCTCTATGTGCTGAAGCTGCTCAAGGTCCAGACCAAGTACCTGGGCCGGCAGTGGAGGAAGAGCAACATGAAGACCATGTCAGCCATCTACCAGAAGGTGCGGCACCGTCTCAACGACGACTGGGCTTACGGCAATGGTACGTGAATCACAGGGACTGCAGAGCATCCCCTCAGCCCGGTCCTTGCTGCTCCGGGCAGGGACTTGTCTGCACCCAGAGCTGTCCCTTTGCTGCCTTTAGGGCTTGTGCAGCCCTTAGGCTGGGGTGTAGGGAGGGACTTGGGGTGGTGGCATCATGCGGAAGAGTGGCTGTTGGTCACTGCCTCCTCCGTGCCCCACATGTTGCTCTTTGTAAGGACCTGCAAAGACCCTTCCTGAGGGATGTGGGCTGGCTGAAGGGCCCCAGTTCCCCTCGAACACCCCTTTCCCCTGTGCCCAGACCTGGATGCTCGTCCCTGGGATTTCCAGGCAGAGGAATGTGCCCTTCGTGCCAGCATCGAGCGCTTCAACTCGCGCCGCTACGACCGGGCCCACAGCAACCCTGATTTCCTGCCTGTGGATAACTGCCTGCAGAGCGTGCTGGGCCAGCGCGTGGACCTGCCCGAGGACTTCCAGGTCAACTACGACCTGTGGCTGGAGAGGGAGGTCTTCTCCCGCCCCATCTCCTGGGAGGAGCTGCTGCAGTGATGGACACGGGCGAGGCCGGAGGGGGTTGCTTTGGGGAGAGCTCAAGGCTGCTGCTGAGGGGCAGGAGGATTGAAGCTTTGGAGGGGGTCTGTGGGTGCCTGGACCCCCCCCCCCCCCCAGTGGTGGGCTTGGGAAGAGGCTGGAGCTGTGGAGTCCTCACCAAGACACCATCCCGCCCCTCTGCCTCCTTCCATGCTATGCCAGGCTCAACCCTGAGCCGAGCGTGAAGGTTTGGTGGAGGTGGTTCCCTATGGGGTGTGGGGGGGGGACGACACCTGTGTGCACCCCAGGAGGCAGCACCACCAGCACCCTCCTCCTGCCCCCCACCAGCCGGGGTCAAGAAGGGGGAGCAGGCAGCGGGGTGAGGGTCCCTTCGGTGCTGCTGGGGGGCCGCGGGGAACAGAGGCTGGTGTGGCAGGAGAACGGGGGGGGCCCTGCCCGGCTTCGGGGTGCAGGGAGGCGGTGGAGACTGCAGTGTCCCCTCGCCCCGCTGGGGGGCGCGGGTGAGCTGTACGCATACATCTGGTCCTGATGCTGTCCGAGCGTGGGCTCTGTCTGTCCGGATGGATCCAGCGATGCTTCTGTCCTTGTCCCTGCTCCCTCCTCGTGTCCCGCTGCGGGGGGATGATTTGTCCCTGGAGGTTGCTTTTCTATCTTGCAATGGGAACTGGTGGCCTCGGGGGGGTGCAGGCATGAGCTGCTCCCACAGGGATTTGTTGATCCCCTTCCCTGAAAGTTCCCAGTTCTGTCCTGGGGTTCCTGCCCCCGCTGTGCTGCTGGTGTCACTCTGGTTTTCCTTGGCTTCTGCACCTCACGGAGCTGAGCATCCACCCCTCCCATGCCCAAGGCTTGGCCTTGCCGTAGCTCACCCTTACTTGCAGTGCCTCAGTTTCCCTGGCAGAGGGACAGCAACTGCAGTGGGTGAAATCCAGGGGTATCCCCCCCCGGTTGGCATGGGGAGAGGCAGGAGGAAGCTGTTTGCTACCCTGCCCAGCTGGGATGGTGTTTGCAGGCAGGGGGAGGCTGGAGCAGCCCTGATTTATCCCCCGTGGTCCTCCAGGAGTGAGCCCAGCCTGGGGGATGCTCAGCCCTCATCCTGGCCACGCTCCCATGGGCTCTGAAGGCAGGAGGCAACAAACTGAGCCCTTCATAGGCATCAGAGAAGCCACACTGGGGGGATTCCTTCAATGTGGGTGCCCCCCAGCGCTCAGAACCTGGTCCTGGTGTGGGGGGACCAGCCCGGGATGCTGTGGATGAGGTGTGAGCATCCCACCTCGCTCCAAACCATTCCCAGCCCGCGGCTGTTGCAGCAAAGTCGGAGCCAGGAGGAACTTCTTGAACCTGTGCTTTATTGTTCCTAATGGATAACAAAACCCTCTCCAGAGGGAGGGAGCCAGAGCACGGGGTGCCCCAGGCTGGGGGGGCACCCACTGGGTGCACAGCAGGGCTGTGGGCTGCCTCCTGGGGGGGCACCCCCTGTGCCTGTGCTGTGTCTTGAAGCATTTAGGGTCCCTTTGGCTCCCCCTTTGACCCAAATGGGGCTGCCCTGGCAGGTTTGGTGCCTCCCCAGGGGGGGGTCTGTGGTGCCCCCAACACCCGTGTTGGGGCACCCGGGGTGGTACCAGGGCGGGGGTCTCATGTGCACCTCCTCACCTCATTGGTTTGAGTGTCACAGGCTATGGGTACCCCCCCCCCCAGGGCTTCAGCTCAGGTGTCTTCATCCCACCCCATCCTGGTTTATCTCCCATGGGGGGGGGGGGGTTGTCCCTTGTCCCAGAGCTGATCCCCATTCCAAAGGGGAGCATAAAGGGCAGCCGATAGCTTGGAGCGGGGGGGCTTTGAGGACTCAGTGAACACAATTGCCCCAGTACCCCCCCTGAGCACCAGCATCTTGGGTGGGGGTCTTCCCACTATGGTTGGACCGGGACATGAAGAGCCCAGTTTCTGCCAGTGCTGGTTGTACTGGGAAGGATGCAGTGGCCACATGGGCTCGGGAATGGGGTGCTACCCCCAAACCAACCTGGTCCCCCCCCGGCTTGGTCAGGGGGGACCCAGCTGCAACCCACCAGTATCTCCATCAGCTCCTGTGGTCTGAAGGTGCTGGGGGGGGGGGGGGGGGGGGGGCGGGCTCAGGGTTCTTGGGAGCCACTTTTAGGGTCCCAAGCTCCAGTTCCAGCCCTATTGGGGCAGATGGGGTTTGGGGGTGACCTTCATCCCCCATCATCACCCAGGGGTATCCAACAGCGGGCTGGGATGCAGGAAAGCTCATGGAGATCTGGATGCACAAGGAGGGGGTAAGGGTGACCCCAGCAACCTGCTCCCAAACCCTGGTGCTGGGGGGGGGGTCGGGCAGATGGTGCATGGATCCCATGGGATCATGTAGCCCAGTTCAAGAGGCTGCTGGTGGCCTCTTTGCTCCTCACCCTCAGCGGCACCAATGCAGGGGACTTGTAGTGGTGTTGGGGTGCGGGCTCGAAGGGGTGGGTGCCCAGGGCCGGGGGGGGGAGGCCGTGCAGGGGGTAGAGGCTGTTGGGGCCGGGATGGGGGCCGGGAGAGGCAGGAATGCCCATGAAGCCGCTGATGTTGCCGTGGGGATACGGGGACAGGCCGGGGGCCGGGATGCTCTCAGGGGGCAGGAGCCCCGCGGGGTTCCTGGGACCGGAGCTGGGCCAGAGACTGGTCTGGAGCTGAAAGAGACCAAGAGAGGAAAGCCCCAAGTGAGATTTGGGGGGGGACGGACCCCATTTCCCCCCCCCCATGGGATCCCATTGGATCCCATTGGATCCCCTTCATCGAGGGCTGCCTTTGCTTTGCTCTACTTGCCCCAGGGGGGTTGAATCCCGGTTGGAATCTTCCCTCCCTTCCCCAGGCAGGGATTTGGGCATCGGGGAAGTGCGTGGAGCGGAGATTTAAAGGATGTTGATGCTTTTCAATGTTGGAAGGAGGGGAAAACAGGGGAGTTTAGCAGGAAAAGGGCAGGAAGCGTTGCTGGGTGGATGTGGGGTTTGGGGGGGGGGGGGACACCCCAAAACCTGCCCCAAAGGGTGTGTTCCCACGGGAAACGCAGGGGGATGTAAAGCAGCATTGTCCTGATGGGCACAATGTGATGCTGCTTTTATTCCCCTCCTTTTCCACCCGGGCCCGTGTGTTTTTCCCAAGGATGGATGGAACCACGTGCAGAGAAGGGGCACACCCGGTGCTGGGGTTCATCCCACAGGGATCCCTGCCCGAACAGCTCTCACCTCCTGGATTTTCCCATAACGTTCCCGTTTGCGCCACTTGGCTCTTCGGTTCTGGAACCAGACCTGGGGATGGAGGGGGGGGGCTGAGCTGAGGCACCTCTGGGGGTGCAGCCCCTGCCCTGCTCCATGCTCATCTTCCCGGCTGGAAAAGAGCCCTAATGCCGTATCCCAGCATCCCGGTACACTGGAGGTGAAGGGGGGAAGCTGCCCGTGTGCACAGCCCTGCTTGAGCTCACCAGCCATATAATACATAGCTGTATATGTATGGCTATACGTATGTGGCCATATAAGATACACCTATATCCATATAATATGTGGATAATACCTTTTATCCCTCTTGGAAAACAAGTGCTCCTGCTCCATGGATGCTGCTTCTCTCTTTTTTTGTCCTCCTGGGCCCTCTTTACCCCAGGTTTTGATGCAGAATGAGGCTCTTGGGGTCCTGTGTGGTCACTGTGACCCACCTGCGTGTCCCCCTTGTGCTGCTGGATGGGGCTGGGAACCGGTGCTGGGTGCAGGCTGGGATGCAGGCCGGGATGCAGGACTGGGATAAAGCACTGGGATGCAGCACTTGGATGCAGGACCGGGATGCAGGACTGGGATGCAGGCTGGGTTGCAAACTGGGATGCAGGACCAGGATGCAGGATTGGGATGCAGCACTGGGATGCAGGCTGGGATGCAGGACCGGGATACAGCACTGGGATGCAGCACTTGGATGCAGGACTGGGATGCAGTCTGGGTTGCAATCTGGGATGCAGGACCAGGATGCAGGACTGGGATGCAGGCTGGGATGCAGGGCTGGGATGCAGGATCAGGATGCAGGACCGGGATGCAGGATGGACTGGGATGCAGGACTCGTATGCAGGATGGACTGGGATGCAGGCTGGGGTGCAGGACCGGGATGCTTGTCCCAGCGCTCTCACGGTTACAGGTAATTGCATCTAAATCCACCCCAAACCAGGGCTCAGAGGCTGTGGCGTGTGTCTTGTCCCCAGTTCCTGCCTCATGGGGAGGGCAGCACCCAGCACCCAATGGGCGCTCCCTGCTCACTTCATGTCCCGCCTGCCTTCCCTTTCCTCCCTGCCGGGTGCCCCTTCCAGCCGCCTCTTCCCACTGGGAGCCTCAAACCACAGGGAGATGCCTCTGTTAGGAGCTCACTGGTTTGGTGCCGGGGTGGTGAGGGAGGTCCTCATCCTGCCCCGCATCCCGGGACGTGCTGAGCGGCTCCATCCCTGCGCTGGAGGGAGCTGAACTGGGGGTTGAGGTGGGAAAGGGGTCTGGGATTGAGGGATGCACAGGGTGGGATCACATTAGGGGATGGGGGGGAGGTCCCAGATTCCCACCCCTCAGGTGCTGCAGAGAGGGGGCATGGAGAGAAGTGGAGGGAGCTGGGGTGAAGCCAGCGCCTGGGCTGGGATTTAGCATCATCCTCCTGGGAAAGCCACCTTCCAGCAGGGAAAGCATCCACGCCCATCCCAGTGAGAGCCAATGGGGCCGGTACCTGCACCCTGGCTTCGGTCAGGTCCGTCTGCAGCGCCAGCTGCTCCCGGGCGTAGACATCGGGATAATGCGTCCTCTGGAAAACCTTCTCCAGCTCCTCCAGCTGGAACGTGCTGAAGGTCGTCCGGTTCCTGCGCTTCTTGCTCTTGCCCAGGGGCTCAGGGAGCTCGGGGACCCGGTGCAGGCCGCCCAGGGGGGCTCCCATTGCGTACCCCAGCTCCCCCGGGCCTTTGGGGAGGCCCCGGCAGGGCGCGGGCATCACCTGGTACCCACCTTTGCATCCCTTCTCGCTGCCTGGCAAGGGAGAGGCACAGGGTGAGGGTGTCAATGGTGCTGATGAAGCCAAGGCAGCCCCAACCCTCCCCTCCCACCCCTATATGGTCCCCGTCACCCCAGGAGGGTGCTGGGATGCGGTCCCATGGGCTCAGGACAGGCACAATCCCTGCTCATAGGGGGAGCTGTGGGCAGGCAAGGTCACAGTGTGTGTGGGAGCAGTGGGTTCTTGGGGTCTGATTTGGGGACCCTCTTGGATGCTGCTTTTAAGCTCTGGGTGAATGGGTGTAGAGGAGGGTCCTGCAGACACTCAGCCCTTCCCACCCTGCTCCATTCCAGCACTGATGCTGACAGTGCCTCACCCCCCTCCCCGGGCTCTACCCCATGGAGTGTATCCCACCGCCTTGCCCCTGGTCTGGCATTTCCCTATAGCTGAAGCTTGGGAAACCAGCTGGGAAGGAGTGACACCCCCCCTGCCCCGAGCCCCCCTTTCTGCTGGAGGACTCCCCACCCCCCTGCAGAGCTGGAGCAGATCTGGGGGTTCCCCCCTTCCCCTTGCTGCTGCTGCAGCTCAGGGGTGTCCAATGAAGCGGCTTCAAGGAGACAAATCACTGCCCCACAGTAAGAGGTCACCCTTGTCCCCATGTCCCCATTGTCCCCATAGGGATGCACACAGGTACCACAGCCAATGCTGGGTGCTGCTGGCACCCCAGGGAGATGAACCAGCGAGGGGGGCACTTAGCAGATGGGGGGGATGATTTGGGGCCCCCCACCACTGAGGGGGTTCACCTGGGAAGGGGAGAACGTGACAATGCTGGGGATCACCCTGGTCTCACCCCCAAGCACCACCTGCAACGACTCAGGCATGGGGAGACCCCTGGCACCCTCGAAGGGGCAGGATCGGGCCCACGGCAGGGCCTGGGGCCGGTGAGGGGGAAAATCGGCTCCTTTGGGATGGATCCTCCTTCCCGGCCCATTTAACCACCACATCCTAATGGAGCGGGGGAATGGGGGTCCCCATCCCTATGGACCCACCCAGGGCTTCAGCCCCCGCTGAGGCCTTTTCCGGACTTTTGGTTTTGATTTCTGGCTGTTTGCTAATGAAGGCGATTTGGGGGTTCCGGAAGCAGCCGAGAGCCCGGCTCCAGCTGCTTCGGATTAGTGGGAAAACGTTCTTTGGGGGGAATTCTGGCAGCGGGAATTGCTCCCCGTCCCCTCGGTACCGGCCTGCCCCGTGCCCGGCAGTGGGTAACGGCCAAGGGATGAGGCCAAATCGCTGTTCCCTGCCCGCTTTGTCCTCCAAAGGGCTGGGCCGAGGGGTTTGGTGATACAAACCGAGTCCCAAAGGAGCCAAATGAAGGGAAAACGCCCAAATAGGCCTAAAAACTGGGAGAACGGACTGAAATAAAGCTAATCCTGCTGAGGAGGCATCGGGTTTGGGCTTCTTCCCTGTTTTCCAAGGCAATTCCTGAGCGACCCGCGGCATTGGAGACAAATGAGTAAATGCCCCGAAAGAAGGAGAAAGCAGGAAGGGAGCAGGATGCGGGCGCGTAGCTAAATAAACACGGCGGCGCAGGGGGACAAAGAGGATGGGAAAAGGGAATATGGTGTGGAATAGTGCTATTTCCACCCCAAAAGGTTCAGCGGCTCTGGGGATCTCGCAGCTGGAAAACAGCTGTCCCATTGCTGGGGGAAAGGAGGACTCAAAGGGATCATCGGCGACAGGATGGGGCATGGAAAAGGCACCCAGGAACCGGGCAGGACACAGCAGCAACCAGCAAAAGCTCCCCCCCTGGACCCAGCAGCATCCCCACCGTGCACCGGGAGCAGGTAAGCGCGGCCGAAGGGACCGGTCCCGGTGCCCCCGCTACCCTCGGGGTGATTTCTACCTGTTCCTCCCGGTTGGGAGCTGCGAGGGGGCCTTGCCGGGCCCCACCTGGTTCCCGTTACACACGCGGCGCTGCCTCGGTCTTCTATCAAGGGGGGTAAAAGGGCCGTGGGACCGGGGAGCCCCCGACGGTCCCGGCCGGGAGGGGAAGTGCGAGGGAGCGGCGGGAGTTGTTCGGCCGCTGGAAGCAACGGGAGAGCCCCAGGGCAGCGCCTCGTCCCGCCGGGATCCGGTGTGGAGCCGAGGGGAACCGGGAGCGCTGGAGCTCCGGAGCCCTGCCCCGGGCTGCGCCGCGCTCTGCGAGCCCCGGGTCCTGCCCGCTGAGGCCTTTCCAGCCTCCCCCGAGGGACGGGGCCGTTCTCCGGCCCCGGTAACCGGCTCCGGCCCCGGCGGAAGCCGCCGTCGCGGCAGCGGGACCGGGGTCTCCGCCGCCGCCTCTTTCCCCCTCCGTCCTGGGCGGTGGGGACGACCCCGGAGCCCCGAGTCTCTGTCGTGACACAGTCCCGGCTGCCCGACCCACGGGAGCACCGGCCCGGTCCTTGCCGGCTTCCCGCTCCCGTCGGGGGACGCCACCCGCGACCCGACGGGGCCGTATCGCGACAGCGGCCGCTTCGGTGAAGCCGGGGCCGCTCGGGAAGGGCTCAGGGCTGCGGGTCCCGGCAGCCACCGAGGGCAGGGGCAGAGATGGAGGAAAGAGAAGCAGAAGGGGCCGAGGAAGAGGTCGGCGGCCCCGGGGTCCCCCATCCATCCCCCCCCCCCCTACGCCGCTCGCCCCGGTACCTGCAGCCCCGGCCGGGTAAAGCGGCTTCCCATTGACGGCCATGGCGAGGGGGCCCGGGCTGGAGATCCCCCGGTACCGGGGCTCTGCCCGCTCCTGCGGACACCGGGGCAGGCGGGGGCCGAGCGGCGGCGGGCGCCGGAGGGGAGCCGGGGGGAAGGCGCTGGGAGCCCGGGGCAGCCCCGGGGGGGGCCCGGCCCGGCGAGGCGGGGGGAAGGCCGGGCAGCCCGGTGCCTCCATGGCGCAGGTTGGAGGGAGCGGGGGGGGGGCGGCCGGCGGGGAGCGGATTTTGTGCGGGGGCCCGGGGAGGAGGAGGAGGAGGTGCGGGGGGGGGGGGGGGGGCGGTGATGGGAAGGGAGGGATCGCTGAGCCCCCCCCCCCCCCCCCATGCACACCCCCACCCCCAGCCAGTCACGTGCGTCCAACCACGGCCCCTTCGTTAACCCTCGGGTCCCAAATCCCACCCCCCAATTGCCCCCAGCTCCTTCCCCAGGGGGGGTCCGAGCCGAGCAGCAGCTCCCCCCCCTTCCCCCGCTCCATCCCCATACAGGGGCTGTGGGGGGAGCCCCCTCCTCTGCTCCCAGCGCTCCCAGTGTCTCCCAAGCACAGGAAATGCCCAGGGCCCTTCCTTCATTGAGAGCCTCATCCCAGCCGCTCCGAGCAGCCCAAAATCCCAGTCCCGGAGAGAAACTTCCACGTCTCAGTCACCCTCTGGGCTTTTCCCCTTCCCAAGTTTCCCTGAACCCATGTGTAGCCTCTTCCTCCCGCCAGGGCCTCTGCGGAGGCCTGGGCAGGTCAATCGGGGATGATCATTACCCTGGGACATGGGATCTGGGATCCTATGGTGCCATTTCTGCCTTTGGAGCCAGGGCTGGGCTCTCTTGGGTGGGTTTCGGGCGCTCTCAGCACCGGGGAGGTCCTGTCCTGCTCCCTCTGCATTCCTGCTGCTGAGTCCCCCCATTCCATCAGTGAGCACTGGCGATGGGGATGAAGGGATCGGAGCTTGCCTGGATCTTCTTTCCTCACCCTTTCACCTCCCTCTTTGCTCCTCTGCATCCACCCCCTCCGGAGCCGCTCTGGCTGCTCCTGGAAGCGGGCATCCCCCTGATGGATGCACAGCTTCGGGGGTGTTTGTGTGCAAAATGCTGGGGCAGGTTTGGGAATTCCAAGGCTTGGTGGGAAGGAGAGAGGGGATTAAACAAGAGGCACGGAGCAAGGAGCTGTTATCTGGGCTGTGGGGTGCCGGTTTCCACCTCCAGTTGCTGTTTTCCTGGTTGCAGAGCACAGATTGTGGCTTGTAACTTCCAACTCATTCCTGGCATCCCTCCTTTTCCTAGAGGGAAACAGCCTGCAGGTTTCAGGGCTGCAGGGGATGAGCTACGAGGCGGGTGATGAACAGCAGAACAACGGGATAACGCTGACCATTAAACCCCATTTTGCAGCGGGATGCTGCTTGTTTTGGCTGCGTTTTGTTACTCCAGGCACGGAGCAAACCTGGAATCACAAGGCAGGCTTGCTCCAAAGAGCTTATAGGGAACATCTAACCTAAGCCCGGTGCCTTGGCTGCGGTAGATGCGATGTGGTTGCAGTGAAAGCCCCGGTTCTCGCAGGAGCGTCAGGCTTGTGGGGTGTAAATCACAGCTGGATTTTCCAGCTCCTGGTCTGGGGAATGGCATTGGCAAGAGGAATAGTGGTTGGGATGTGCTCCTGGGGTCAGGCTTACTGAGGGGCTGGCTCTGGGATGCGGGGGTCTGAGCACACGGTGCCCCCTCCTCGCCCACCCTCGGGATGAATGGTTCCCGCTGCATCCCGCAGCATTCCCGACGCCTTCCCTTGGCAGCAGCTGGAGCTGCCGAGATTTTCCCCTGTTCACAGCTGGCTGTGCGCTGTTAATTGTGGCTAAATAGGGGCTTTGAGGCCTGCGCCTTGCGGCGGGTCATTAAACACTATCAAAGAGCAGAACTCCTGTGAAGGTTTCCATGGCCCTCTCCTGCTTTACTGCTGGCATTTAAGGGGTTTTCCTAGCGGAGGGATGAGGCTCGCCATGTGTGCCGGTGGCGCGGAGGGGGACGGGTGGTTTGCTGTGGGATGTGCTGCTTTTCCAGGCCGGAGCCATCACCAGGACCCTCCCGGGCAGGTGGAAGAGAGCTCGGGAAGGTGGGAATGGGGGAAGGTGGGAATGGGGTGTGCGAGGCCTTGGGAGGGGTTGCTGTGTGGTTGGTCCCTCTGGTGAGCAGGGATGAGGACAGGGACTTCCTGGGGGCTCCTGAACCTGCCACCAACCTGTGGCAATGGGGCCACCAAGTGCAGCGGGAGGGCCCCAATGGGATGCTCTACGGGCACTCATCTTCTCTCCTTGGTTTCTCTCTTGCTTGCTGGAAGGAGGAGTTGCTCCCACACACTCTTTGCATCCCATTGGCTTTCCCCACCATCTCCAATGATCCCAGAGAGCTGCTTCTGCTCCCTTGGGATCATGAGAGCTCAGCAGGAGGCCAGGAGGGTTTGTGTAGCTCTGTGCTTTGTATGAACATCCCTGCACAGGCTTTGCAGAGTTATCCAGAGCCCTGGGAACGCTGGTGGGGCACAGAGCAATGCCTCATGCACGGGAATGGGAACGGGCTTCTCCTTCTACAAGGACAAGGTCAAATAGGGTAGATGAGGACCACCAGTGGCTGCTCTCCTGCTTGTGTCCCCTCCTCCAGGCTCTGCATCCCATGGTGAGGACCTGCTGAGCCCAAGGGAAGCCCCATCCCTGGCTGGTCTACATCCATGTTGAGCGCCAACATGGTCTAGTTTGTCTCGGGCACATCCCTGCATCCCACAGGGACAATGATCTCAGGCCTGAGCAGCAAAGGGAATCTGTGCCCTCTCTTATGGTTGCTTTTCATTGCTGCAGAGCTATCCCGGTTCAATCCCCAACCCTTTCCCATCTGCACATCCTTCTCTCCTTCCCAAACATCCCAGAAAATCCTCCCATTCCTAATATCTGACTCACTGTAGAGCTCCATCCCAGCTACGGTTTGATCTCGCTTAGGAATGTGCACGTCGATGGCAGGAAAAAATGACTTTATTGATTCCTGTGGGGAAATCTCTGCTGATCACAACCAGAGCCCCAACGGGGTCAGGTTTGCTCTTTCATGAGGTAGAAAACGGCCCTGCAGAATCACAGCCACAGACATTCCCCCGCGTGTCATAATGATGCACAAGAGGCAGGGGACAGCCTGCGGCACACACGTGCTTCATGGGTTTGCACATGGATTTATAGGCACATGCGTATTTACATCTATAGACATGCATATTCATACATACACACGCATCTTTTTATATAGACATGCGTATTTACATATAGACACACATTTGTATGCACATAGAATCACAGACTGGTTAGGGTTGGAAAGGGCCTTAAGATCATCCAGTTCCAGCCCCCTGCACATCTATATACACATGCACATTATATGCACATCCACATTTATATGCACATCCACATTTATATGCATATATATATATATATACACAACCATATTGATATACTCATGCACATTTATAGCCACCCAGACAGACACACTGGTAAATCAGGCCCATGCAATCGTACGTGGTAATCCTGCACACAAACGCAGTGCGTTTCTGCATTCCTCCCTCTTCCTACCGCGTGGACACAAATCCCATGTAGATTTGTGTCTCCGTTGCGTCGAGATAGAGTGGAAATGGCATAAAAGACCTCAACCTGTATAAAATGATATTCCAATGGGATTGTGTGCACACCCCGAGCTGCTGCGCTGCGTTAGAGCCCTGCGGATGTAGCGAGGAGGGACACATCGGCTCTAAAAGCGCTGCCAGTGAGGGGGATTCTCCTGGGGAAAAGAAAGAATCTGCTGGAATTCCAGTTTTTGGGGGGTTATTTTGGGCGTTATTGAGCTCTCTCTGTTCCCGTTTTCCTCCGGGTGCTGTTTTCCAGAGCAGTGTTCCATGTTGGAGCGTGCTGTAAAGGACTGGTAGCGAGACCAAGCGAGGAAAGAAAACCCGCAAACACAAAGTGCAGGATTAAAGCTGAGCCCATTGCTTTGTTTTCCTTTGCATTTCATGGAGCGAGATGAAGGGGAAAGAAAATTCCCAATAAATCCAAGTGATTTGGGCTGGATTCAACCCAACGTAAAAACTCATATTATTTTGCAGCTGATGAATAAATCCCCCAAGTGTTTATAAGGAATAAATCATCTTAATTTCCTCAGGCTGCTTTAAACAAGGACCCAGCTCCTTCCTTGCAGTTGGGAACACGGGATGGACTTCTCCCACCGCTTCATTTGGTCTTTATAAAGTGATTTTTCCGATGGGAAGCAGAGGGGATGGAGGGATGGATCCTTTCTCCCAACGACTCCGATGCCGTTCCGAGCCGCCGATCGGCTTTCTGCTTCCACAAGGAAAGATTTGTGCTAAATCCATGTGTGGGATTTTCAGGCTGCTTTGGAAAGTACTTCAGGATGCCAAGTTCAGGCTTGTTTTTCCTTCCATCTGCTCCAAATATATATTATATATATATATGTATGCGTATACATATATACTTATATAAAAAGGGATGAAATGAAGCCTGGAAGTGGCAGCGGCTGGGATTTTTGGGAGCTATGCCGGGCTGGATGTGTGTTTATGGCATGAATCCCACTAAAATACATGGAGCTGGGAGCCGAAAGGGTCTTTGACTCCTAAAAATCTGATAGCAATCGCAAAATCAGGAATACATCAAGGGATTAAAGGGAATTCCAGCTTCGCTCTGCCAGGAAGCGGTAGGGCCCGAGTCAATTGGATTTCCTTTTAGAGTAACGCCGTAACGTGGCATAAATCTAACAGCACGAAATAAATGGGTTCCCTTTGGATTTAATATGTACAGAGCCAGGAGCAGGATCTGGCCCCTGAGTTAACAGAGCAGCTGGATAAATGGGTGTAAACCGGAGTAAGTTGGTGCTGGGTGTTGGTGCAGATTAATGCTGCCTGTGGATGTACAGCTCTGCTGCTGGAGGAATCTGCTGCCCTTGGGGGTTTATTCCCTGTGACCCTGGGCTGAGTTTGGGCTTTGTATGGAAAATGGCTGGAAAATGGTGAAAATGGGGGAAAAAAGGTGAAAAGGAGGGGATGTGGGGAATGTTCTTGGGGTGCTGGGCAGGGGGTTAAGCCCAGCTCCTGTCTGTGCAGGGAGGGATCAGGAATAGATCCAAGCCCTTCCAGGAATGAGCTTTGTAAAAGCAAAC